TCTTCACACCTGCACTATAAACCCAAAGATTGCTGCAAGTGTGCACAAACAATAAATGAATTTACACAAAAGTAAGTCAATCTTCACTGAAGATGATATTCATGATGTGTCTTTTATAGTCGATGAACAGGTGGACAGAAGACAGACGAACTTCTCGAGTAAATGCCCGTTTCGAAGTGTCTTTCTCAATAATTTCGCATCCAAATATACTGAAGATGACGATGAAGTCTTTAAATCAAACTGTTTTTTCCATGAGCTATGCAGCTACATAGCTCATGGAAAAAACAGTTTGATTTAAAGACTTCATCGTCATCGTCACTAATTAGTCCATTGGAGAGTTTTGTATGTAGCTGCATAGCTCATGGAAAAAACAGTTTGATTTAAAGACTTCATCGTCATCTTCAGTATATTTGGATGCGAAATTATTGAGAAAGACACTTCGAAACGGGCATTTACTCGAGAAGTTCGTCTGTCTTCTGTCCACCTGTTCATCGACTATAAAAGACACATCATGAATATCATCTTCAGTGAAGATTGACTTACTTTTGTGTAAATTCATTTATTGTTTGTGCACACTTGCAGCAATCTTTGGGTTTATAGTGCAGTTTTGTATTGCTGTTCCCCTAGGTATTTGTGGTCTTCACACCTGCAAACAAAAAAAAAGGTGTTATCTCTCTGGTCCTGCTGTGTTTACTAAACTGGGTCAAAAGCCCCCTCTTAATGTCACCAGTCACTACCTCGTCACGACATGCTACAAATCTAAGGCTGCGTGCGCAGGGGGGGGGGGGGCGCGGGGGGGGGGGGGGGGACTCACGTTTCTTTGTATCTGCATTGCTTGTTCTTCTATATATCCTCAGCTCTGCTCAGCTCCTCCATGTATTCTCTAAAAATTCTCACCAGGTATGAAGATTTGCTCTTCAGCACCAGCATCTGATTGTTCAGTACAGTCAATATTTGACAGGCTCTGGCGGCTTCCTTACAACAGCCCTTATGGTGCATGTATGGGAGCTGTGAAACAGTGTACTCCGTGCTTCTCTCTGCCAACTCTTCCAAAGGTAATAATTCTCTCCACAGAGGCAATTCATCGGGAAAGCTCTGATGGTTACCCGAAGCAAAGTATGGCCTTCCTTTATCCACTCCTTGCTTAATGGCATGGTGTTGACTAGCCAGACACTGGCGTCATATCCTTCCCACGTACAGCCTGCGGTTCACCAGCTCTTTTATTCTGTGCTAATAATTACAAGGACACAAATGAATGGGCATGAAAGGAGTGAGGGTTTCCCACAGTGGCCAAGCAGATGTCCTGGAACATCCAAAAGCCTTCCCTTCTTCTGACGTTCCCTAGCAGGCAGCATTCAGAGGTACACTGCCTCTGAACATGGAGGCCCTATTTCACCATGGTAGCGAATAACCTTTCTCCTTTAGTATTTCCAGTAAGAGTTGATTCAGGTAAGTGGTCTCCACACTGTCAAAAGCTTTTTCCAGGTCGATGGAAAGCAAAAGGGATTCCGAAGATTGATGTTTGGAGTGAGCTATAAGGTTCACGACTGGAGTCTGGCAATTTTAGGATTGAAGCTAGGGTATGCATTCTATCCATCTATATGTGGCCGAAAGGCCATTTCAACCCACAAGGCCTCCTTCCCCTGATATTCCAGGACGAATTCCAATCCAGCTGGATCAAGGCAGTTCACTATTATATTCATAGAGTTGGCTTCTCACCTCAGCTACTCTTATCGTATGGATTTGAACCAGCCAAAGGGCTAATTAAACAAAGAGTTGAAGATATTGAGTGACAATCTGACATTTCTAAGGCTTCCAAACTTGGGGTGTTTTTAAATATCAAAAGCACCATTGAGCCAGCAACATACTTGACTTCAGTGGAGGGAAAGAATTCTAGAAGAAGAAGAAGATTGGATTTATACCCCACCCTTCACTACGGAAAGGTGTCTCAGAGCGGCTTACAAACTCCTTCCCCTTCCCCTCCCCACAACAGACACCCTGTGAGGTAGGTGGGGCTGAGAGAGCTCTGACAGAAACTGCTCTTTTTCCAAGAACAGCTCTTATCAGAACTACGGCTTGCCCAAGGTCATTCAGCCAGGTGCAAGTGGAGGAGTGGGGAATCAAACCCGGTTCTCCCAGATTAGAGTCTGTTGTGTGTTTGTAGTGACCCAATGCAAAACGCCCAAGCATCCATGAGGATTCGTGCTTCGGAACCATGTTTTCGCTGCATGGTGTTGCCAAGAAGCTGTGGATCCCTGATTTCTGTGATTCAAACTGTGCCCATGGGCATGATGTGTGATTTGATGGTGAGTTCATGATGACCCAATGCAAAAACACTGGGGATCCATGAGGATCTGTGCTTCAGAATCATGTAGTGGCTTCATGGTATTGCCACGACGACTTTTGTGGGTCAAGCTGTTGCCATGGTCATATTATGTGATTTAATGGTAAGCTTGGGGTGTCCCAACAGAAAACCCCCATCTATGAGGATCTGTGCTTCAGAACCAGATTTTGGCTGCATGGATTTGCCATGAAGCTATGGATACATGATTTCTGTGGTTCAAGTTGATGATATGTGATCTGATGGTGTGTTCATGGCGACCCAATGCAGAAACCCTGAGGATCCATGAGGATCCGTGCTCTAGAACCATGTTTTTGCAGAATGGTGTTGCCACGAAGCTGTGGATCTGTGATTTTTGTCCTACAAGCTGTTTCCATGGACATGTTATGTGATTTGATGTTCTGTTTAGGGTGACCCATTGGAAAAACCCCGAGGATCCATGAGGAGTCGTGCTTCAGAACCATGTCATGGCTTCATGGTGTTGCCACAAAGCTGTGGATCCATAATTTTTGTGGTGCAAGCTGTTTCCATGGACATGTTATGTGATTTGATGTGGTGTTTGGGGTGACCCAGTGCAAAAACCCTGAGGATCCATGAGGATCCGTGCATTGGAACCATGTTTGCTGCATGGTGTTGCCACGAAGCTGTGGATCCATGGCTTTTGTGGTGCAAGCTGTGCCCATGGACATGATATGCGATTTGATGGTGAGTTCATGGTGACCCAATGCAAAAACCTTGAGGATCCATGAGGATCCGTGCATTGGAACCATGTTTGCTGCATGGTGTTGCCACGAAGCTGTGGATCCATGGCTTTTGTGGTGCAAGCTGTGCCCATGGACATGATATGCGATTTGATGGTGAGTTCATGGTGACCCAATGCAAAAACCTTGAGGATCCATGAGGATCCGTGCATTGGAACCATGTTTGCTGCATGGTGTTGCCACGAAGCTGTGGATCCATGGCTTTTGTGGTGCAAGCTGTGCCCATGGACATGATATGCGATTTGATGGTGAGTTCATGGTGACCCAATGCAAAAACCTTGAGGATCCATGAGGATCCGTGAATCGGAACCATGTTTTTGCTGCATGGTGTTAACACGAAGCTGGGGACCAATGAATACTGTGGTGTAAGTAGTGGCCATGGACATGGTATGGGATTTAATGGTATGTTTGGGGTGTCCCAACACATAAATCGCAAGCATCCATGAGGATCCATGCTCCTGAACCATGTTTCTGTAGCATGGTGTCACCATGAAGCTGTAGAGACGTGATTTTTGTGGTAAATTCTGTGGTCATGGACAAGGTATGTAATTTCATGGTGATGTTGGGGTGACCCAATGCAAAAATCTTGAGGATCCATAAGGATCCATGCTTTGGAACCATGTTTTTGCAGCATGGTGTTGCCACAGAGCTGTGGCACCATGGTATCTGTGGTGCAGGCTGTGGCCATGGGCATGATATAGGATTTAATGGTAAGTTTGGGGTGTCCCAATACAAAAAACCCAAGCACCCATGAGGATCCGTGCTTCAGGATCATGTTTTTGCAGAATGGTGTCACCACGAAGCCATGGATCTGTGATTTTTGTGGTGCAGGCTGTGGCCATGGACATGTTATGTGATTTGATGGTGTTTTTGGGGTGACCCAATTGAAAAACCCTGAGGATCCATGCTTTGGATCCATGTTTTTGCAGTTTTGTGGTGACACAAATTCATGGGGGCATGATTTTTGTAGTGCTTCCACAGTATGATGTTAGTTTTATTTCATTTCAGCGTAGAAATCATATGAATTCATGAGGATCCGTGCTTTGCGCGGTTGTGGTGCCACGAATCTGTGGATGTGTGATCTCTGTGGTGCCCCCTATAGACTAACACATGGCCTACAATATGATGGTGGTTTTGTTTCATTTCAATGTAAAAATCATATGAATTCATTAGGATCCATGTAGATCCGACTTTTACCTTTTTCCATAAAGGGTTTGCATTGTGAGAAGTGGACTCTCTAACCCCCGAAAACTGATGCTGAAAGAAAATATTGAGGTTTTACTAGACTCTTATTCATTTCTACCTGAGTTCCTTTCAGGTGAACCACGGACAGGTCGCACACAAACCATGTGCTTTTTAGGGCTGCCACATCCCTGGTCAACAGCAGAGGATGGGGGGGGGGGGTAGGGTTGCTAGATCCAGGTTGGGAAACTCCCGGAAATTTGGGGTTAGAGCTTGGAGAGGACAGGGACCTCAGTGCAGTATAAAGCTACGGAGTCCACCCTCCAGAGCATATACTTTCTCCAAGGGAACTGATCTCTTTAGTCTGGAGATGAGCTATAATTCCAGGGGATCCCCCCCAGGTCCCACCGGGAAGCTGGCACCCCTTGTGGGGCCCCTTGTTAAGAGCGAGGAGTAACCATTAAGAAAGAGAGAGAGAACGAAACTACCTTTTCATTGGCCTAATCATAATCATTCCCACCCGTTCAAAAGGAGAGGGAGTGCTTCTTTGCTTCCTTTCTTTGGCTCTAATACTTGCTTTCCCGCGGTTTTACCAAACGAGGCACCAATGCTTGCGAGAGAACCCCCGGAAGCTACGTTTCCCAAGAGTCTTTACGACGCGTTTTAAAAGAACCAATCAGAGCGTACGTTAGTTGACGTCAATATAAAAGGCCAATCCTGCGCTGTATGCTTCCTTTCGTTCGTTTCCGTTTCTTGCGCAGGTTGCGTTGAGCTGGAAAGAGGTGGGTAGGGGGGGGGGTTCGGTTTCCAATCCATCGCCATCCTTTTGTTTCGGGGGGAGAGAGAGGTCTATACTAAATGTCGATACTCTCTACTGAGATTTTTCATTGTTCATTTGGTAATAAAAAATAACCAAATGAGGCGATTGGCTGACATGTGGTGTTGCGGACTTGCCTGGGGGATTCTCTAGTTCTTTTTATACTGGGGGAGGGAGGCGAATATCTTTTAATCCACCTGGTTCTGGGAAACTAGCATAACGATCTGTTTTTGCTGTGCTCCTCGTTTTGAAATGGGTGTCATGTTTAAGTTCGTATAGATTCGGAGGAGGAGGAGACCTAAACGGCTGCTCTACAGCTACTAATCGTAGAAGCAGGTGGTCTCTTTCTCTCCCCCCCCTCCCCCGTCGGTTTCATGCCGGGTGTTGCAACCGCACTGCCTGGTGAGGGCAGGTTTTACAAGTTTTCTTTAGGTTATTATTTAGAAATCCTGGTTTAGCAGCCTAAACGGTGCTCCTAAGGTCTAGTGGCTTGTGGCATGGTTCATGTGTGCAGGAGTCTGAGGTGGCAGATCCCTATTATATGGACTGGTATCTGGCACAGCCAGTTCAGATCTCCATGTGGCCATGAAGCTTGCCAGATGGCCTTGTATTTGCGTTTTTACGGGGGGAGGGAAATTAAATGTGACTTTCCCACAGCCACAAACCAATTTTGCCTTTGCGGGATTCTACCACTTTATTCTGCTTTATGTGTAGACCAAGTTAAGGCTAGGGATATTGTGGTTCAGAGCTCCCTGTTTGGCAAAATCCCTTTCAGACTTAACCCACCTTACAGAATAGTTGTGTGATTTTAAAACAAGAGCTCTGTATACCATCATGAGTTCCTTGGAGGAAAGATGGGAGAGCTGCTGATATATGCCAGAGAAGATACAGAAATTCAGGTCCAGGTGCTTATGCCAATTAATTCCCTGCTCTCTTGTATTCCAGGTCTTAACGCTGTGCTGGAGAAGAGTCTCCAGAGGGCTTGTGCACTGGACTGGCCTTTGTCTTCTGCTGAGGAAAGAAAACAGATAGGCATGGCCCATCCTTTGAGGGGAAGTGGAGGAATGGGTAGCACTGACCCATGTAATAAGCTGCTGCTTGGTGAACTAGAAAAGCCAGCATTGGCTCCATTTGCGCTTGTTCTGGTGAGCTTCTGAGAGTTTCATGGGTAACACCCAGTGGGTCACTGGCACTGGCTACCCTTCCTCAAAAGTCCAAAAAGTGCCAGCAGACATTACAGGGGGGTGGGCAAGGGCTGAAACAGAGGCCCTGCTAGCAATGCTGAAGCATTTGGTGTTTCTCCCCCTCGGAGGCATACACAGATGTAAAGTGGTCCCTGATTTTACGCATCTTTCACTCAAGAAAGCATCGGACTGAAGATGGTAACATTTGTGGTCCTATTTCTTCATCCTCACCAGTGACTTTAAGTAGCAGTGGATTTTGCTGACAGTTAAAATGAGTGCATGCTTCTGTTGGGCATAGATGGGTCTTGATTAATGCTCCCTCTAAGTCTTGTGAGCAAAAATTCTACCTTGTGAGCTACTGGCATTAAAGTTGTGAGCGAGCGATTTGGCTGCTGCATAAATCAGTTTGCTCTGGAGCCCTCCTTCCTGAGCGAAGACAAAAATGTGTGAGCTGGAGGCTAAGAAACTGAGCTGGCTCACATTAACTCAGCTTAGAGGGAACACTGGTCTCGATATCATTTTCCTATGGCATTTTAGCCCCTGTATTGTTCCTGGATTGTCCAGGAGGTGGAACAACTACAGTGTCTGATGTAGTGTTAAATTCCTTTTTGCCTCTTTCTGTTGGAAGCTTTCCCCTGTGGCCCTGTCGAAGCTGCATCTGTCTCTTGTGTGGCCGATGTGGTCAAAAAGGTGCCAAAAGTAACTCTTCCTTGACGGTCGCTGTTCAGTTGGTCCCCATGTAACTGTCCAGCAACATTTTTAGGAAGATACACATTCTCTGTTGAGGACCTGCCCAATGTCAATCGTACCCATGTTTCCAGGTGTGTGAAACAGTAGGGAGAGGTTGTTTCTTAGAGATTGAGTGGTCTTAATTGGGGTCCGGGTGCCCGTTCTTGAGATGGAGGAGGGTACTGGGATAGTCTGGGTGGACGAGGAACCACCAGCTACAGTGATCCCTAATGTGGTGGTCATGGGCACTGTGGG